TTTGAGATGGGGTTTTGCTCTTTTGCCCAGGCTGGAGTGCAGTGGCACAATCTTGGTTCACTGCAACCTCCACCTCCTGGATTCAAGTGATTCTCCTGCCTTAGCCTCCCGAGTAGCTCACACTACAGGTGCATGCCACCATGCCTGGGTAATTTTTTGTATTTTTAGTAGAGATGAGGTTTCACTGTATTGGCCAGGTTGGTCTCGATCGCCTGACCTTGTGATCTGCCCACCTTGGCCTCCCAAAGTGCTGGGATTACAAGTGTGAGCCACCACGCTATGTTTTACATGGTATAAAAGTCATCTTTGTTTACAATCTAGTGGTTTTTATTATATTAACAAAGTTGTACAACCATCACCACTATTTAATTGCAGAATATTTTTATTACCTGCAAAAGGCCTCATACCCATTAGCAATAATTCCTCCCACGCAATGGCAACCACTCATCTACTTTTTGTCTCTAGATTTACCTATTCTGGATATTTCTTTTTATTTCTTATTTCTTTTTTTTTTTTTTTTTTGTATGTGTCTCTGTTGGCCAGGCTGGAGTGCAGTGGCACCATCTCGGCTCACTGCAACCTCCACCTCCCAGGTTCAAGCAATTCTCCCGCCTCAGCCTCCCAAATAGCTGAGATTATAGGCACCTGCCACCACGCCCCGCTAATTTTTTTTTAATTTTTACTAGAGACAGGGTTTCACCATCTTGGCCAGGCTGGTCTTGAACTCCTGACCTCGGGATCCACTCACCTCAGCCTCCCAAAGTGCTGGGATTACAGGCTTGAGCCACCATACCCAGCTTATTCCGGATATTTCATATAATATATGGCCTTAGGAGTCTGGCTTCTTTTACCTAGCCTAGCGTTTTCAAGGTTTGTCCCTGTGGTAGCAAGTATGAGTACTTCTTTACTTTTTATGGCTGAATAACATTCTACTCTGGTATAACATATTTAGTCCAGTCATCAATTCATTGACATCTGGGTTGTTTATGCATTTGGGCTGTAATGAATAACGCTACTATGAACATTCACGTGTAACTTTTTGTGTGAACACATTTTCAATTCTCTTGGGTTACCTAAGAGTGGAATTGCTGGTGATATAAATGGTAAATGCCTGTTTAACTTTTTGAGAAGCTGTCAAACTGCTTTCCAAAGTGGCCACGTCAGTTTTCATTCCCCCTGGCAATGTAGGAGAGTTTCCGCTTCTCCACATTCAGGTATCTTAGTCTGGCTCTAGGTGCCCCATCACCATTCCCCTTTCCTTCCAGGAGCTGCGCCAGACACAGGAGGAGCTTAAGGAACTGCAGGCAGAACGGCAGAGCCAGGAGGTGGCTGGGCGACACCGGGACCGGGAGTTGGAGAAACAGCTGGCGGTCCTGAGGGTCGAGGCTGATCGAGGTCGGGAGCTGGAAGAACAGAACTTCCAGCTGCAAAAGACCCTCCAGCAACTGCGACAGAACTGTGAAGAGGCTTCCAAGGCAAGGAGAGTGGGCCCAGGGCTTAGGAGGTGGAGGCTGAGGGTGTCTGGAGGGCTGAGGACCCAGAGGGTGTGGAAAGTTACCTGTCCTGGGTATGTACTGATCAGCTCCTGGGTCCTAGGCATGTGGTTAAAAGAAGCCAGGATTGGCCGGGCGCGGTGGCTCAAGCCTGTAATCCCAGCACTTTGGGAGGCCGAGGCGGGTGGATCACGAGGTCAAGA